AAAAAAAAAAACAATAACGCAGAAAAAAGGAATTACAGTAACCCAATGTTCTGCAGCTGAAAAGCAGCATTGCATGCTAATGCCGATTCTTCTCCACGGTACAAACGTAGTAGGCAACAACCCGCAGAGAGAACACAAAAAAGGGGGAGGTAAACGAAGCGAAGTAGGTATCGCAAGGAGGATAGAAAAAAAAAAATCGCCAGGAGTGTCGTAACGCAAATGCGAACGTGGCTTGGGGAAGGAAAAAAGGGGAAATCAGCTACCATTGAAAGTGGAGGGTGGTTATTGTTTATAAAGCTTGTTTCTCAACAGGGGCGCGCAATTTAAAGTTCCTGCCGCGTAGTGTATAGCCAACCGCAGCATCAGCTTAGCGCTTGCAGCAGTGTGTATATCGCCATCCAAAAGTTGTAGCGGACCCCTGGATACGGCGCCTCGCCCCGAGAATGCCAATCTCTCGAGTGGGACTGGTGCTACTGACAGCCTTCGGGCTGCAAAGGTGGCTTCCCCCGCCTCGTATCGATAGATGGACATTTTATGCTGAAGTAATGGAGCGCGAGTAGTTCCCTCGCTGTGGAGCCGAGCGTAAGTTTGCGCGCGTGTGTGTACATATATACGCGCGGGAGCTTGCGAGGGGGACCGTGTAACGCAAGTTCGGAGTTTCGGGGGAGAGGGCCGTGTGTCCAAGGAGTTTCCTGCCTCTGTGTGGACCTTCCGGGCAGCAATACTGTTATTGATTTCCGTGCACCGCTTTGACAGATTTTCCGATCAAGTCGAACCGAGTGCCTTTTTATGTCCAAGCAAGACGTGTGTAGTTGGGTGATAATGAATATTTGGTAGTCGATAATAGTGTGAGTATAGTGCGAAAAAAACAATTTCTCGTCTCACCATCGGTGCAATGATTTAAAGTAGGGACCACTGCGATTATCCAGTACGTTCATGTACATCAGAGAGAAGAAAAATTATTAAAATAAACAATCGGAACGATTGCATTGGCTTTTCTGTGGCAGTATTTTCGTTCAAATTAACAGGAAAAGTTTTCCACCAGTTATCTTATCACCCACGCACGGCAACACTGTCGGGAAAAAAATCCTAGACGTGGAGTAACTTTTACAACTCATTTTTACTGAAATCGCTAATCACTTGACGAAGGATCTAGTTTTACTCTTTGGTTTAAGTGGAGCGCACGTGCGTTCGTTTGGAAAACACTTGAACTCTGTATCACGAGCTAAACTATTTTCTATGATTTTTTTTAATCTCATTCGTTTAGTATAATTCATTACGCAAATTGTAAATCTATGATGGTTCAGTAATTCCTAGTTGCACATGCGGTAAAAAACACAGACTACAAAATAGTTAAAAAAGGTTTGGAGGACAAATAATATAGTTACCAAAACTGTTTATTTCGTCACAATAATCTTAATCACAAAACTGTTATACCAATTAAAAATTGTTATAAATAAAACAACAAATGAAACCTGTATTTATTTTTATTGTTAAACATTCAACGACAAATTTCCATGGAAAAGGTTGAAATTCCTACACGAGAGATAAGACAAACGCGAAACATACCATCGGTATCTTGTCAGGCGACTCGACGCAAACGTCGATAGGAAAGAAAGAAGGCGAAGGATGGGAGGGCACATGTATAGGGAAAGACACGGGGATATTGAAAGTCGAGGATGCCTGTACACGTAGGGCGATGAGTGGGGGCGTTTTGAATGCGACGCGCACAGTGACAACTCCAGCTATATATACCTACGTGCTGGGCCGATAAGACGTTAGCTCGATATTACTTCTGGGAACGCAACGGGAACGTGCGTTGTATTCATCTTGACAGCAAAACACGTACGTCGTGCTTATCTTATTTTGGGATTAGGGTTTTGCAGGAAGAACTTTATTTTTAAATAATTATTTGTTCAAAGTTTGGAAATTAATGACAAAAATATTGATGCGTTATAATAAATGCATTACAAATTATTTTGTTTTTCAAGGAGGAAACTGGAAAAATTTTATACGAATTTTTGTCTACTCTCATCTAATGTTTATTTTATGAAGCTCGTTATACTCTTTGAATCTATACATGATTTAACTAAAAGCTTTAAAAAACATTAAGTTTTTAATATGAAATGAACACCAGTTTACGAGGGAGTACATAAAAAAAAAATTTTTTTATTTTACTCTTTAAAACTAAGATGACGTATTCCCATTTAATTTATGTATTCGTTTGATGAAATTAATAATAAATAGCTATATAGGTTAGCTTTTTTTTATTTAAAATTAAATTTTTTAATTTCCCTTCGTTAAATAATTTTTTTTTTCTGAAAACTTGGTTTTTATAAATTTCATTGTGAAATGGATTTTTTAAAATGCTTTTACAGTTTTCAGGTGAAATTATTTTATCTTAAATAACAACCAATTATAAGTTATATTTTACGATTAATTCCTTAGAGTACCTTCTCGTACCAACTTCGTACATCATTGTCTTTGACAAATGATTATTAATAATTAAACATGGTACTTGGCAACACATGAACTCTATTTTTTCAAAAACGTACCTTAATAGTTTGCTCATTTTATGATTATTTAAAATGCTAAATATATGCAGAATGAAAATTATTAGTTTTTCCGCGGACAAATGTTACTCTCAATTGATCATTGTGTGATTGTTTTTAATTAGCAAAAAAAATTATTCTTTACCGTTGCAGTGCAACCAATGTACGGATCGAACGGTGCATCAACGGGCATGCCAATGGGCATGACAAATTTGAAGATGGGCCCGATGATGGGCGGCATACAGGGGGCAACGACACTACCCCGGCCGGGAAACTGGCTGCACCCTGCGGGCCTCAGGCACGGGCACAGCGCGGCCCGGGTCCGCCTCTACTGCCAGGCAGAGTGAGGAACCACGGTTCTGACAGGTATAACATATAGCTCAAGAGATACATTTACCCCACTTTTAATTCTTCAATCTTTCAGTCATTTATACTTACAGAGATAACGAAATTAAATTAAAAATTACTGTAATCTTGCTGATTCGTAATAACATGACTTTTTAGCTCTTAAAATTTGTTGTTAATTTCAAAATGAAGCTTAAACTTAATTAAAATTTAGTAAGAAAGCAATTTATTGAAACTGTTTCGTTTTCTTTCTACTGTTTATTATAATATTGTTTTGTGTTTCACAAACAAATTGCCAAAATACAAAAAAATGCATCAAAAGGCTCCATGGTTTTGTTATTATCACTTATTATATACTGATATTTATTTTTATTACTACTGTTATTGTAACTGTTATTGTTATTATTGTTAATAATATTACTATTATTCTTAAATATCCTCTTTCAAGTCTCGAATACCTTAATTTGTAAGTACATCTATTGCGTATTTTCTCGTTTGCACAGCGTTTTTCATTTAATTACTTCCATTGATAATTTTTGTAGATAATCCATGCTTAAAAATATAAAAAAATTAAATTTTATTTAAAAATAACGACTGCAATAACTTATTTTTATGAATCACTGCATTGTTCAATAAAGTATTTAAATAAAAATACAATTGAAATTAAACGTAAATTTTCTTTTTTTTTGCAGTGACATATCTTCTGGTCAGAAAGATGAGTGGTTTGTGTAGGTAAGTGAAGCGATTGTGTCACATACTCTAAAATAATGAATCCAGTAAAGTTTTTTGTATAATCTGTAATTAAAATTACAAAAGTATATTTATTAATTGACTGTAGGAAAAACAGAGGCCATTTATAATTTTTAGTTGAATTTTTTAATTATTTTTTTTCTTTATGCTCCAATTGAGCATACAAAATTTTACTTCTGAAATTTCCGGATGGCATCCTCAGATTTATTCTAACAATTTTATTCCCGTTTTTTTTTTTCAGAGGCAGACCTGGACCAAAGTCCGCAGGGTGTACGAGAGCGGTGGTGCCCTCACCGTTTTCCAATTTTGTCGTTTTTTCGTCAACGTAGGCGAGCTCTCGATTCGTCTCTGAAACACTAGCAAAGCAACATAAAAAATAATATACAACTAAATTAAAAACCATACAATTATAAAGTCAATCGTCGGATTACAAAAATATCACGAACAAAAAAAATATCTTGTCGTTTCTCTCGCGGTGTACGTCAGCCGACGCTAACTAAAGTTTATAAAAGCGGGAGAGAAAAAAAAAAGAGAGGATGTACAGAGAAACGCACGGAAAAGCACGCACAATATTGCACACGTGCCCCATTCGCCCGTGGCTACTATGCTTTCCACCAGTGACGCCGTAATTCGGCTCAGGCAAGCGAACGGCGCACATACGTGGGCAAACAAAAAACTTTTCCTCTCCTCCCCGTCCTCGACTCCCTCCTTTACTACTCATATCAAGCAACCATCGGAAAAACACGAGCGTCCTAGTTTTTGCACTCGTGAATCGCGAACACGGAGTAAAAAAAAAAGAAAAAGAAAAAAAAAGTAGAGAAACAATATCGAAAGACAGATTAGCTGGATAAGCGCAAAGAGAAGGGAGTGGAGGGGGAGGTATACGTGGTACATGAACCAAAATATTTTTTAACGACCAATTTTTTTCCCCTTTTTATATAGCCGATTCAGGTAAAAAAAAAAAATAAATAAAAAAAATGAAAAAAAATAAAACTAATCCACAATGAAAAGAACAAAAAATAAGCAAAGAGGAAAGTGGACACTTTGAGCTGAAGCATATCTTCCAAACGGTTTTTTCATATCGTTGACAACTGCGATATTTACTCTGAAGCCCTCTAACTTTTTATGGATCTTCTATACATTTTTTCGAAAAGTCTTTTATCACTATGTAGTTGAGAATAATCGTATCAATGGAGCAAAAGCTCCGCAAAATATCGAATTTTGAGAGAAAAAAAAAAAAAAAGAAAAAAGAAAAAAACAAAAAAATAGTCATGACCTACGAAGCGAGTATTGCCACGTGATGACGCTAAATACCTAGATCGATTGAAAAATTAGAAGTAAACCAAAGTGTACTAGCCATAATTAATGTGCGCGAAAGTTATCATGCATGCGTGTTGATGAGATTTAATGAACTTTAAAATAATACGATACAATTGGAGGATATGGCGTATTGTAAAATTAAAAGCGAAATAAAAAAAAGAAAACTATGTTTAATGTGAGTTTTGTGAGATATTTTATTGAATTATATTGATCATGTTGTAGAATTAGAGCATTATATAATTGCAACGATTCGCAACAATCGTTAACATAATCATCACAATTAATGTTTTACCAAAAAAAAAAATAAAAAACTTTTAACAAACTCCATGTACTAATTACACTCGACCATTTTTCTACTGACATGCTTTTTTAAACGTATTTCTTACTACTGCAAAGCATAAAAGCACAAATGCAAACGATTTTTCGTGAAAAAAAGCAAAAAAAGTATTGTTGCAAGTCGTTGAACACACAGTGATTTTTATTGCATTCGTTCGCAAAAGTCCAATGCTGCTCTCTTAAAATCAATGCACGACAGTAAAATTTAGAAACAAAGAATGGACAAATTCAACAGTAGTCATCTGGTTTATTTATTTTTATAAATGTACGTCAGCGACTGCACTCGAGTGTCATCTCGTTTGAGGCTTTACCGGCCGTCTGTGTATTCATCAAAAAATAAAGTATATCAATCTTATATTGATGACTCTTAGAAATAGAGCGATGATCTGCTGAACACAACTGTCGTTTCAGAGAATACGTTCCTTTAGACTGATTTTATACACTTGTGACTAAAATAAAAAAATAAAAAATAAAAAAAATTATTAATATACTTACACGTATAAGCACTACGATCCTTACTTGATCACCGTATCGCTTCTTGACTTGTATCAACACAATGAGTTACATTTTAGAGTGAAATATACTAAGCTTTGTCATTATAAGTTTTCTATTGCACAGAAAAAAAGCTTAATAGTGTATATATTATAGCATATCAGTTGAATGTATGTAACAAAAACAACAGTTTTTTTTCTTTAAAAAAGTAGAAAAATTGCACATCAAACAATGTTAACATATTATACAGTGTAAACGATGAAAATAATGATGTTCTCTGTTGCAAAGTTTTGTCTGTGGTATAATTTATACAATTTTTTTCTGTAACCTAGATAAAATCAATTAAGCATCAATAATAAAGAAAAACTTACCATCAGTGAAAAGACTCCGATCCGAAAAATCACAATTTCAACGATGTTTTTAGTACAAGTGATAAATTATATACCATTAGGAATGAGACCTTTCATTTCATTATACAAAAAAAAAAAAAATTAGAAATCTAACTTGACAATACTTGATATATTTGTAAGAAGGTAACCGTAGAATCATTTGTACGCTAGCCTTCACTCGTTGACGTATATCATTTCTATACTTCATCTTTGTATCTTCATAAAGTGTATAAACAATCAAGACTAAACCATAAAATTTTAGATAAATATTTAAGTAAAGAAAAATATACATCTACATTGTTTTCACGCATAATAATGACGAAATCTCTGAAACGCATAACATACTTGTAAAATACTTGTATTTAACACTAGCCGTTCAGCTTTGTGCCGTCTTTAATAGAAGAATTACGAATGCGATCATATAAAACGACAAACGTATAAATAATTGAATGAATAGAAAAATAAATATACATAAATAAAAAGTATATATGGTTATCATAGTGTTTAAATTGATATGTTTAATTGCTAACTTTTACATTAACTACTTTATAACTTGAGAGAAGTACGATGATTAGGTATTTGTCACATTAAAGGTATTGCAGTTTTTACTAATGTTGCTAAACTAAATACTTACAACTTTGGCTATAATTATTCCGTAATATATCAATCTCGACTATCTCAAGTTATTCCCATTTACCCTAAAAACATTTATTTTAGAATTAATATTTTGGTTTTCATGGGATTATTTTTCCTACGCTACACATTATGGTTAATTTTTTATGGGTAAGGGATTTTATTGGAGTTTCATGAATTAGAAAAAATTTAATTATAAAATAATTTCCAATCCTAAGTATAAGATTTACAAATGTTGGTTAAGGAGTAGAAAATATATTAAAATTCATGTAATGATGATATTCAGAAAAATCAAGTAAGAAAAGAGATTGGAGTGTAAGTAATAACTATGTTGCTTTAATGAGTGTGCTTAGGAGAGGTTTATTGTCGTTGATACGGTTGCACAAGAAAACATGAATTATCTATAATAGTGTGAGAATAATCTCACTATATAAGTGCTAAAAAGCTAGCTCTGAAACTGCCATCATAAGAATTTAATGACAAATAATTAAATGAACAATTTACGATCATGCTACTAAGAAAAAGTTTTTCGGTGGACAGAATGAATTATTCCAATCGATAACATCTGTATGTTGTATAAACGAAACAACAAAACTTCAGATAGTCAATTCCAAAATACGAGGTATACGAGTTATAATAATTTTTATTTATTTATGACACTATTTTACAACTATCCCTACTCATTGTTTTACGTACGTACGACATTACACAATTATCACAACTGACAAATTTGACGTCACAGAAAAGATTATCATAAAAACTGTTCATCCATGTAAAATACTTTGTTGGAACAAGTTATTTACGTATGAATAATTGTAACAATAATAAAATATTAGTGATATACTCATTATCATTCGCAGAATGAAATTGATGAAAAATATTATTTACTATTTCTGTTTTTACATCATAATTTTTTGTACCCAAGAGTTCTTAAACAGTTAAGTTGAGGATTTTTTTTAAATATTCAAACAAAGAAAATAATAAGTATAAGGTGTCTTATTGACATAAAATAATGTCTAGATAGCACATTAATTTTTAATTTGAATTTACTCCGTTTTTTTTTGTTTTTTTTTTATTACTAATGCAAAAAAATTTAAATCAGTTTTCTAAACTAAAACATAATTATTTTAAGCTGGGAAGGAGATACTGACAAATAGTTATAAGAACTTTTTACTAACTAAAACAAATTTGGTTAATAAGTACTGCTAAAAGGCATGAAAAATTTAAAATTTTAGAAAATTAGTACCTCAAGTTTC